GTAATTTGTGGGGCAAAATCACCCCTTGAAATCTCTTCATTGGATTACAATTGATTTTCTTTTAAAAAATAAATAAATATAGTACTAGAGTCCATCATGACAAAATAACTCTAGCCATTGCAGATATTGATACACTTCTTCTTCAAAAAAGAAGATGGTGGCTTCACAATTAAAATTGTGCCGAAGACTGATTGAAACTGTAAAGGGCGTGCCAAAGCCTGCCTGGTGATGTAGAAGAATGGCTGCTTATGCTGGAACAGGTTCGTAGAGAGCTCCTATCTGGCTAAAGTCCTGCTGTCTGTCTTCTCACAGGCTCATTTTCAAAGGGCATTGCTGAAGGAGAAGTGGACCCTTCCTTTGGCCCTCTGGAAGCAATACGACTCTCCATCCAGACTGACTCTCCCGTGTGGATAATCTTGAGTGAGGTAATTGGCCATTCTGGTCAAGCTATTAAATGAGGAAGGTGGTACAAAGACAGACTGTTTTCTCCCACAGGGTCCTTTCAGTTGTAGCCTTATCTGCCTGCACAATAAGGAGGAATTGTTTAACCATTCCAGCCATGCACCTAAAATTGCATCTCTTTATCTCTTAACATACAAAGTTTCCAATCAAGACTAATAAATGCCACTGCCTTGGGCTTGGGACAAGTGCAAAAGTCAAGGTGTCGCATGGAGGCCTCGGTTGCTGTGGGTATCTGGCATAATTGTCTCCAGGATATATAAGTAGTCCTTGCTTACCACTTATTTAGTCACTGTACAAACTTATGGCAGCTCTGGAAAAGGAGACTTACAGACAGTCCTCAAAGTTCTGACCATCCCAGCACCCCCACAGTAATGTGAATGTGATTTGGATGTTCGGCAATCAGCTGGCACTTATGATGGTCACAGCGTCATGTGATTGCCATTTGCCTTGACTTGCCTTGCTGGCTAGTTAATGGGGGAACATGGCAGGGAAAGTAACAAGTCACTCTTCTTTGCAGCCTCCCTCACCTGGCAGAAGCAACTCCCAGCCCTAGTTCTCTTCCACCACTGTCTGATTGCTGGCCTTCTTGTAAGATGACTGGGACTTAGTTTACAACCCACAGTCCTCGCTTAATAACAACAATGGGAAGTGTTGGGATTGTCACAGCTAAATGATGCAGTCACATAACATTGCATTTTATGATCGTGTCATTTAGCAATGGAAATTCTGGCCCCAATTATCGTCAATAACTGAAAACTATCTCTGTGTACTGAACTGGTATATAATATTTGTCCACAGACATTCTCTACAGCTGGAGGTAGATGTTTCTGGTTGGTGCATTCATAGACCAAATTTTATTTCAGCTTTTAAAGGGTTATGAATATGATGAACTTCCAAGGAGTTAAATGTAATCTTGCTTGTTTCCTTATCTTAGAAAATGCAGCCTACCTGGAATGATCACAGGCATAATTTATGAAGAAAGATTTAATAGCAAAATCTACTAGATGGCACATTTACTCATACAATGCCATAATCCAAGGACTCTTAAAGTGTAGGTCATAACTCCATGGGTGGTCATGAGTAAATTAGAGGAGTGGTGTCCCAGTTTTCTGGGTGGCCAGAAGTTGAAAGGTGGAAAGACTGGGAGTGCAGCTTCCCTAGAGTTCTGATTCTCAGAGAAGGTGCCTGTGCTACAGAGCTGATGAGGAGGAGAAAGGGGCACTTCCTTGAAGCCATGATATTGAGCTCACTACAACACTTGGGGTTACCAAGTTGGTCTTGATAGTCTATTATTGTTTTGTTATAGTCACAATACCATAAAGTTTAATACAACAAAATTTAAGAGCGACCCCTATAACATAAACAACAACAACTATACGAAAGTCAGCAACATACTACATTTTAAGGCCTTAAGTAAATCAGGGCATCATATTAAACCATTGTGTGTTTCATTTGGGTGGTTACGTGGTTTGTAATCATAGTTTATGATTCAACGTGTTCTGCAAACAATCAGTGTTTGGATCTATTTTAGGGTTTACAGTAACCGCATAACTTTGTCAGACAATGACATCCTTCCATATCATACAGAAAGAGATAACTTGTAGTTTGGACAGTAGTTTTGTTATGCAATTTACTCTTTTGTAAGAGAGATAATTTATAAGCCCAAATGCTGATTGACTGAATTCTAATCAGTTTTCTTTTGCTATTCATGTACTTTCAGATATTCCTGAAAAAAGCGGACTGATCTTGAAGATACAGGGAGTAATATATCTAATGGTTTTCTAGCTCTTCCATTCTTCTAAGACAGTGAAGAGGCATCAGAATGAGTGGGCTACTAATGAAGCGAAGCTAGATGGGTAAAGAGCACCTCCTGCCCCAAGAACAGGAAGAAAAATCTTGTGGTGAAATTTGGGAGAACCTTGGAGTTTTCTTACATTCTTAAATGAGGAAGAGAAGAATTTTTCACACATAGGTGCTGGGACTCAATTACAAGAAGCACCATTGCTGGCTTACCTTACAGTCAGTTGCCTTTGCAGCTAGAACACAAACATAGAAACAAATAAGGACTCTAGGGATGAACTTTCTGTGTAGAAGGTTTGTTTTTTTGTTCTCTTGAGTAAGAACTATGTTGTTCCTCTCTTTCTTTCTTCCTCCCTGAACATTAATCCAGAATGTATCATTAAAAGGTACATTTAGAAGTGCAGGCTTATGGAATGTGAAGCCAACGAAAAGGAAACTTGACAATTGAGCACTTATGGAAAAGAATCAAGATGTAATAATACTTGGCCTCCAACTTTTCAAGTAACCTTTGCTATGTCCACACCTGAAAACAAAGTGCAAAAGAGGACCATTCTTTAAAATTGCAGACGTGGTAGATGGCAGGGATTAAAAAAAAAAAAAGAAATAACGTGCAAGAACCACCCATGGTTGAACATGCCTCTTTCATAAATACAGATCATGTTAAACTCTCCGGTCTCTTCATGCCTTGGGAATCGGTGTAAAGTTTACCCTTTTAAATCCATCTCTCTGTAATGTACTGGTTGATGTGAATTTTAAAAAAGAAGAAAACTTTAGGTCAATTCTCAAAGGATAGGGGTTAGAGTTGAAAACAAAAACCCAATGTCTCTAACTATACACTGGAATGCATTATACTACTTTCATGTGCTGTATTTTTTTATTATTGGATACATCTGGTTTTTTTCAAGAGTGTGTGCGTGTGTGTGTGTGTGAATATACATACACTCACAGACATATATATATATATATATATATATAAAGGTACACTGTAGAAAGTGTTTTATTGCATTTTCCTTAAGCAGAGAAATCTGACAAACTGAAAATATTTTGCAGGTATATTATAAGTATGTGAATGATTTGTCTTTTTGCATGAAGGTATAGCTATAGCCAAGAGATATTTTTGCAAGGGGGAAAACTTCTATTAAAAGCAAAACTTAGCCATTTCCTCTGCATGCCAGTGTCTGTGCAATACGAAGAATATTAGCATACCAAAACTGAGCATTTTACTTCCTTAAAAATAACCATTATAAACTAGAAGTTAGGTGTTTTTCCCCTAATAAATGTTTTTATAATTTATAATTCACCTTCATCTTTCCTAGGCCATGAATTTGCATAATCTTACTTAACCAGCAGTCTTGCTGGATCCAATTGAATGCCCATCTCATCTTCTGTATTGGGCAGTGGGAAAAATTTTCCACTCGGATTGCAGAACATTTATCTGACATGAAAGTTACTAATCTTTTCAACCAATTTAATCAAAGCAATCTAACAGGCCTTTAATTTATTGAATCTTTTATATTGGTCACTTTTCAGTTCTTAAGTAAAATTCTAAAGACCTGGAACATATTTTGTGAGAAGAACTGCAACTTCACATTTGATATCTTTTAAAACTCTTAAGTTAATATTGTCTGAATCTAGTGATTTCTCCAATTTGTCAAAAAGATCTAGAAGTACAGTTCCCAGCTTAACATCAAGGGATGTCCGTATACTTCTAGGCATCTTTAGGCCACTCACTAGTCTTTCTGTTTCAGTTGACATTTTATATTTCCAAGACATTATTTTAATTAAAAGAAATAGGAAACTGGCATGTTCTGAAATACACAGTTATCTTCCAGCATCACTTTTATTTCTAAAAACCTCCTGGGCCTCAAATGGATATGAAAGGACAAATATAAATAGAAGCAGGTAGCATACAAATGGCAGGTAGTGATTTGGTAAATCAGAGGCTTGTGCATGCTTATATCCTTTGTAGCAGATACTCAGTGATGTGATTTATCAGTAATATGGGCTGCTGTAGTTTAGACTTGCTGAAGCCAAGGGCAACCCCATATAGAGTGAATTACAGTAATTTAAACAAGAGATTTAAACAAGATGACCAGGATATGAGTTGCTGTCCCCACTAAAGTTGGTCCTCGGATTATGACAGTTCTGTTCAGTGATCATTCAGTTATGATGGCGCTGAACAAGGGGGACTTGTTTAGTCACCAGGAGTTCTGGCCATCACAAGTTCCCCCCAATTGTATGATCACAATCTGAGCACTCAGGTGGCCAGTTTATGATTACAATATTGCAGTGGGCTGTGGCCACATGGTCTTCATTTACAATCTTCCCTGACAGCTTCCCACAAGCAAAGTCAAAGGTTAAACTAGCAGGGAAGGCCACAAGTCACCCCCACATTTTTTTTTCTGTTAAGAGTCCTTCTGCAAAGGATGAGATCCCAGGAATCTTATATTCCACAGTACCTAACCATGTTCCAAAGTGCCTGCCATCCCACCTATGTTCATTAGCATCCGCCTGCAGCATTGTTTGCGTAGAATTTCAGTCACCTGAGTCCTCTCTTAATGACCCACATAGTCTCTGGGTTTGCTGTTGCTTTCACAACCCCATCACTCAATGATAGGAATTTCAGTCCTAACCACTATTACAACCCAAGGATTAGCTGTACACCCTATTGCAGGAAAATGGCTGCCCTGTTTGAGTTGCATCTAATTTTGGATTCAGAAGCAATAAGGACACCAGTATGGGTAATCAAGGTTTTATTCCAAGGCAATATGAAAAACAAAGGAGAAAACAATAAAATACAATTTACAAAGAGCACAATACTAACATCTAAGAAAGACAAAGAAATCTTGCACCCCTTCTGTTAGTCAGGAAACTTCTCCAAATCAGCAAGTGTACATTAACTCCCAGATTAGGTCTGTTCTAAAGTTCCGCTTTACAATGGCTTCTGACTGGTTTATATATACTAGGTCATAGGCCAGTGATGGTTAACCTTTTTGCCGTTGCGTGCCAAAAGCGGGGGGAGCGTGGGGGGTTGCAGGTGCGGGTGCCCACATCCATAATTCAATGCGCCCCGCCCTCCCGCACATGCGCACATGACCCCCACACACTTCCCCCTGCTTTTGGCATGTGATGGCACAGTGGGCCCGGTAGGCCCGTTTTTCCACCTCCCCAAGCTCCAGAGGCTTTCTAGGAGCCTGGGGAGGGCAAAAACAGCCTCCCCATCCCCCCGGAGGCCTTCCAGAGGCCGGAAACAGCCAGTTTCCTGACTTCCGGTGGGACCAGAAAGCCTGAAAATCAGTTGGCCGGTGCGCGCATGCATGCTGGAGCTGAGCTAGGGCAACACTTGCGTGCCCACCAATATGGCTCCGCGTGCCACTGTGGCACCCGTGCCATAGGTTCGCCATCATGGTCCTAGGCCCTAACTCTTCCCTCACCAGATTGGATCCACCCCAGTATGTGGGGCTTTAGTTAAAATAGTACCTATAGTTCCCAATATTTTAACTATTTTAAAACAATATGAATACAAGAGAGAAAAGAATAAAATCAAGACAATTTTTTGTGTTGTTTTAATGACCCTGTAATCCTTTGCATCAGGTTGGAGTTGGGGTGACCAAACGGAGCTGACCATTTAAGTGGCGGGATGCCATTCCTGATGCCTACACAGAGCTCACAGCAGATATTTTCTCTTTGCCTCCACAGAGAGAAATAACTGCTGCTACCTAGGATTGAACTCGCAGCCTCCTGATTTGTGAGGTGAAAGATCATTAGAATTATAATGAAGACAAAATCAGCTTAATAATTGGAAAATATGGTAAAAGAGTAAACCTTTTCATCAACTTATTTATATATAACCTCATTCTGGATGTGTCTTTTCTGAGAGAAGCCCAATAAGGGTTCTTTAAAAGAAATCTTGGTTTCATCCATGGTTCCTAACAATCATCTCTAGCTAATTTGACTCAGGCTTAATTCTGGTTGTCTTCCAGTAGACTAGATCCCATGAGCATAACATCTTAGTACAAGACTTCGATTCCAACTGCACTGAATCCAGACCTTGACTGGCTCTCTTGATGCCTCATGTTTCTTGTTCAAAGCATCAGAGACCAGCTTAATAGTACATCATGTATTATTCAGAATTTTACTTTGTAAGTATGTCTGTTACAACTTAACAATTTTTTAAGCACAGGAAATAAATATAACAATACTACTGTAGAGAAAATTCATAGGAACATTAACAGAAAACAAAAATACATTTCTAGAAAATTATAGTTCAAAAAGGCTGATGTGCAAAACTGCTTTAATTTGGGGGGAAAAGGAGAAATGAAAGTTGAAAACTAAGGCTCAAATCATCGTTTTGTCAGTTGAATGGCTGATTTCAAAGCACATTTGAGGAATCAAAAGTTTCGCACAAAATGGACAAGTAATCCCACCATGGACAAACCAATAAGAATGCAAAGAACTCCAGTGCTGAAATACATGGGGCCCAACCTGTGCAAATAGGAAGAAAAAAAATAACAGCTAGAGTTAATTGAGGCTGGCTGTTGCCACAGTAATATCAGTGTTCTCACAAATAGCTTCCATAGTAACTTGGTAAATAGAGAGAGACAAACCCTGCAGATACAAGCTGCATTACTGGGGAAGGATTTAAAAAATGCCCTTCTAGCAGAATTAACTGACTGACTTGCAACTACTAGTGTTGTAGGATGGTAACAGTCAAACTGTACCCACATCCTCAGCTTTGATTCTTTTTTCCCCCGACGTAACCTCTCAAATCCAGACATTCGTCTTTCCAAATTCATCAAACATGGGATGGCCTTGAGATGATCTAGAGTTGCACAATTCAGTACCTTATCTTCTTGGACGAACCACAGAAGGATAGGCAGTTTCTGGTGGTTTCTTTTCTTTTCTTAAAATATTATAAGGGGGAAATGATGTAGAACAGGGGTGGGGAATTATGGCCCCTTTATGACTTGTAGACTTCAATTCACAGTATTCCTGAGGAAGTTGAAGTCCACAAGTCATCAAGGGGCCATACAGTAGTTCCCCATTGCTGATGTGGAATGAAAGAGATGTTCCAAGATGCTGTATTTTCTTTGTCTTAATTATCAATGAAGTGCTTAATCTGTGTCAAATCTATACCCTTTGAGAGATGATGGGGTTAAATATAAAATTAATATATTCCTGGGGGCTACTTAGGAGACAGGAAGTTAGAGGAAGGGGAAAAAATATCTACATAATTTGTTTTATGCAAGGGATAGTTTTTGTATTGGAAAACATCTTACACTGTGTTACCTTCCTTTAGCCTAAAGCAGTCAAGTTCAGAGATGGATTTCTGTTGCTCTCAAGGCTACAAAATCCAGCTTGAACAATCAGCAAAATTACTTGTCTGAAAGACAATCTATTTGACATATTTCGCAGAAGGATTACTCACCTTCTTTCAGCAGAATGCATATAGCCTCTAAAGTATTGATAGCGAGCATACAGGTAAATTACTCCACAGAATGCAGCCAAAACTACAGAGAAGGCAGTAATCAGTTACTTAGAAAGTTTATCAAATACTAATTTCAATAAGAAATACAACAAAGGAGGGGCTTTTTTTCTTTTTAAAAAAAACTATTTTCCTGAAGCAACTCAACGGCAGGACACAAGTACAGCAAATCAGGTTTGCAGACATTATCATTTTTGCATTGATGGAGTGATAAAGGAGGCATAACTGCCAATATTAAATATATATACAGTGAAGGAGGTAGTCCTGCCTTTCTCCAGTCCTCCAAAAAACTTTACTTAGATACGCATCTACCAGCTACTTGGAATGGTGGGAACTTTTACAGCTTAAGGAGACTCCCACCAGCCTTGCCTTAACAAAGAAACAGACAATAAAATTCTGCAAAAGTCATTGCTTAAAAGGATCTTTTGCGACAACTGAGGACTAATTAATAAAAGAAACCTTAAATCACAATTTCTCAATCAACCTTTATTTTTTTAATTAATTTATTTCTAAACTGTCTCAATTGCCAAAGTGACTCTAAGTATACCTTTCTGAAAAATCAGGAAAAAAATCATGAACAGAACCAATATTATAAACATATTTGGAAAGAAAATCACCAAGCCTGTTCTTGCTTTGCTGCTTGCTTTGTCAGACTTAGTGTAGCCAAGGTCTGTGGAATTTAAATCATGTAAAGGAGCACTATTATCTAGATCCTCCCATTATATATTAGCACAACTGTAAAGAATTTTAGGCAGAAGCAATAGCATTAATTCTTGGCTTCCCATGTAGCTTGAGCCTATAGAATATAATACTCATTCTTACCTACACTAGCCTGATCCAGATGGGATCTGTTTTACCCAAACTTCTCATGAAACATCTGCCAAATCTGAGAGTATATAATAACTGTGTACTTCAGTAGTGATAGTATCTAATTGTACCGCTTAGAGAGGGCTGTAAAAGCACTATGAAGTGGTATATAAGTCTAAGTGCTATTGATATTTCACATATACAGGTAGTCCTCGACTTACAACAATTCATTTAGTGTTCAAAGTTATAACAGCACTAAAAAAAGTGACTTATGACTGTTTTTCACACTTACAACTGTTGCAGCGTCCCCATAGACACATGATCAAAATTCAGATTGGCAACTGACTCACATTTATGACAGTTGCAGTGTCCTGGGGTCACGTGATCTCCTTTTGTGACCGTCTGACAAACAAAGTCAATGGGGAAGCCAGATTCACTTAATAACCATGTTACTAGTTTAACAACTACTGTGATCCATTTAACAACTGTGGCAAGAAAGGTCGTAAAATAGGGCAAAATTCACAAATGTCTTGCTCAGCAACAGAAATTTTGGACTCAATTGTCGTAAGTGGAGGACTACCTGTAATCAGTCTTCTTCAGCTTCTTCTCAGTGTATTGGTCTGTTACATCATTTACAGATGGTGCATTTTAGATGAACAGTGGAAAGCATCAGATTGGCCATAGATGGACCTCAGCATTTTGAGGCAAACAAACGAAGTGGGAGCCCCTGTGCTGGTGATACCAAAGTCAGTAGTAGATACTGAAAACACTCCAGGGAAACCCAAGGTACATCATCTCTACCACTGCAAGGGTGAGTTCCTCCTTAATGAAAACTCTACCCGCCTACCGGATTTTAATGCTTAACTCTTTATTTACAATGCAGTTACATTAGATAAACATTAACAATAAAAAAATAAAAAGCTGTGGAGGTCTTTTAAAAAGTTCTCCAGTTTCTCACATATTATTCCATATTTTTTACTTGCAGAAAGGACATCACAGTAGAGAGATTCTGAATTAGGATTTTATTTCTTACCTTGATGGGAAAAGACTCCAGCCACCCATAAGAGGGAGAGAAATATTGGGAAATATTCTGAGCAATTTGCTCTGATAAAACAAAGAAGAAAACAATCAGATCACCGCTGATGGGGAAAAATAATTGGGGCTGAACAAATCTGTCAAATTTGCTCTGATTCTCATTTTCTTGACCTCTATATGTTCATTTCAGCCCATTTCTGCATCCATTCACAATTTCATCTCAGACCACTATAGATAAATACGTGTACACATTTTCAGAACATTTCTCCTCTCTGCTGTTTTGCAACCACAATATTTTTGCAACCCGTGCATTATTTCCCTACTTCTGGATCTTTTTGTTCTAGTCTAAAAAAAAAAAAATAATCACTATATTCGTGTCCTTATTGCTGAATTGCATGTCGGGTGGTAACAATTGAAAATTCCTTTTGATTATAGAAATAAAAGGTTTTCCTTTTAAAATTGGGCTTACATTCTAAAATCTGACCAACTAGAGACAAGGGGGAAAAAATGGGACCGAAATGGAGATTAAAAAAACCTGGAAGATGTGATAATTACAGTATTGAGGTATAATTACACAGAAACTGGACATTTGCCTCAGAAGTTTTATGGAAAAGATAAGTTTTGAAGAGGAATTGCTTGTAATTGGTTCTAATCGTTATCATTCTATAGCAGAATCTCTTCTGGCAACAAAAATAAATTGTTACAAGGAAGCATCACAAAAATAAAGTATCACACTGCATACAAGGCAATTAAAAGGTGAAGGAAAAGAAAATGAGCTTTGTCTACTGCCGGAAAGATAAAGTAAGCATTAGTAGAGCCATTGGAAGATGGTATTCCCTAGCGGTTGCAGGTTGGGGATGGCGAGGAGGAGGTTCTATTACTTTTTTAAAATGCCATATTCTAGAGTTTATTGCTAAAGCATGTGAAGGCACTCAAAATTGAGTCTATAGGTAAGGTACCACTATATGGGGGAGTGATATGTCTGTAAGATCATGGTGTCTAGCATAGAGGACCTTGTAGGTGAATAAGGTAGACCTGGGATCTGATCCAACATTTGGCATAAAGGAAGCAGAACTTCTCACTTCCATGTATAGCCTCCTACCTACCTCATTTTATACCACCTGAACTGCAATAGATCAGATAGAAGGAGTTTCATTATCACAAATAGATCATTTTCTTACTGGATCTGACCTTTTGATCAGTTCCTCCCTTCAAGGGAAAGTAAAACAATTTTAACTAATTTAGCCTAGAGGGAGAGGTTGAAAAGTGTGAGCATTTCCAAGAAAAAAAATCTCACCCTAACTATATACCCAACCAAACCACAAATAAAACAGGAAACTGAAAACAGAACTTCATCAGCTGATCTCTGAGTAAAGATGAACTGCAAAGGTTCATAGCAAGTTAGATGATGTCCAGAAATAAGCAAGAAGTCCGTGTCAGGGTTCCAAGTAATACCCCCAATGAAAAAAGACTATGAGGCTTGAAGTTCCTCAAAGTTCCATTTTATTAGAGATGTCATATTGGCACATATGGGAAAAACCCGAGTCTGAAAGTTTCCCCAACCAAAGGAAAGTCCAAGTTCCTGTCCAGCACCCACAAGTTCATCACATGGTCAAATCAAAACATTGTCTCAATGGGAGATGCTTCCCAGCCATACCCCTCCAAGTGCATGACAAGATGTCCTTGACTCTCTGAGAAAGGAATGTTATTATGACTATATATCACCCTTGCTCCATACAATTCCCCTCCCAATTTCCCACAACAGTAAATGTGGCAGGCCTGAAGATCCAATGCAAAAGATGGTTTCCAGGCCTGACAGGCCGCCCACCTCCATCCCCACCCGATCAGAAGATCGTGTCCTGCAACAAGAGTTGCTAATTCAACAGACTAACCACCTCCTCCCCTCCCCCAGGGGGACCCTTTGGTTTATCAGGATATTTATCATGGAATTGTTTTACTAGCCTGTCTGCTTTCACATCCCAGCTTTTAACCCAAGTTGCCACAAAGGGTACCCTTTCCAATGCATTAAATATTGCAATCTACCTCTATATAACCTATAGTCTAAGATCTTTTTTACTTTGTAATGGGGTTCCCCTTGTACCAGCATAGGCTTGGGATGTGGTTGATCTTGCGGTTTTAATCTGGAACCCTATGGCTGACTTCAGCAAACTACAGTGGAAACAGGATGTACTTTCCCTAGAATGCGGGGGAGGTTAAGCCGAACTGTTACTGGGTTAATTACTTTCACCATTGGGAATGAACCTAAAAACTTTGGTCCCAGCGTTTTACTAGGCAGCCTTAGTCTTATTTATTTAGTTGATAGATAAACCCAATCTCACACATGGAAAGGAGGTTGAAGAGATCGGTGTTTGTCTGCCTGCTTTTTGTATGTTTCTGCAGCTTCCACTAGCGCTTTTTTAGTATTTTACCAGCCTTTACTCAGCGACTCCATCCACTCGATCAGGGTCAAGGAGGAGGGGGGCATTCTCTGGGCAATTTGGGCATGGGTACAAAGTCCATGCCGCTGGTGACCTGGAAGAGGGTTAATCCAGTGCTACTGTGCATGCCATTGTTGTAAGCCACTTCTGTTTGATGAACATCTTTGCCAGTTTTTTCTCTGGTGGTAATCCTGAACAGGCTGTGAAGTGGGCTTGTTTTGAAAACAAGTTGATTACTGTCCAAATGACTGTATTTTCCTCACTCTCTGGGAGCTCAACTGTAAAATCCATTGCAATCTTCTCCCAGGGTCTGCTGGGGCTAGCCACTTGCTGGAGGAGCCCAGGAAGTTTCCCTGGTCTCATCTTCATGGCAGTGCAAGTGGCACAGCTTTTCCCATAGTCTTCTACATCAGCTTTCATTTTTGGCCATCAAGATTGCCTCCTGGCCAGATGTAGGGTTTTCAAGAACCCGAAATGGCCGGCCAGTCGGGAGTCATGGCTGCCAGTCTCAGATTGGCAGGTGCATACAGTTTTGATCCTTTCCAAGCAGTCCATCTCTCATGGTCAAGGCGTCTCTATTATCTATGAGCCATGGGTCAGTTGGAAGTGCCGTTTTCAGTGCCGCTATCAGTTTGTCTCACCCAGGGTCGGATTGTCGCCTGGCTCCAATGCAAAAGATGGCTTCCAGGCCTGACAGTCCGTGCAGTTCACTCAATATAAATAGAATATATATTCCCTCTGGCAGCATTTTGAACCAATCAAAACCACATTTTGGAGCTGCCAGTCATCTCAGGAACATCTTGTGGCAATAATTCAAACAGTCGATTAGCAAGTGCACATATCATTGGAAGAGCCAAAGTCAGAGGATAGTAAGTTGAAAATTCAGTCCATTGATTTTAAAGTTAATGTGGGAAGCCCCTCTCCCAAGAATGAAATATTTTGGGGAATATTAAAAGAGGCAGAATATTATATTTCCCCAAAGGAGAAATTGAGAAAAAAACAAAGGCAGAAAGCAGCCCGTCTTCCTGCCATAGGAAAACAGCTTCAAACCAAGTAATCTATTCAGAAAGACTGGGCCAATCTATTCATAAACAAAATGCTTTCAGCCAAAAGGCTTGTAAAAGACACAAGGCTCACTACATTAGATGGAGCATCTCAATCACAAAACTCCAGAACCCTATAAAGATCCATCCATTCAGCCATTTTGTGAGCCATCCCAGAAATATGCTGCTGTTACTGAAGTTTCTGGAAGCCAAATAAACAGAGACTTTCTTTTCAACCAGCCAGCCTCCATTTTATTTCTAGTGTCTTTCTCCTGGCTTGGAACTGGATTGGATTTTTCTTCCCACAATAGCAAACAGCAAATGCTTCTGTTTATGAACAGATGCAAGGAACTGGACATTTTTATTTGACTTGGTGGGTCTGGAGATGTGTTTCTCACCCTGGCCACCCTCCAGAAGTGTAGGCATCACCCCCCAGAATTCTCAGCAGAGGTCATTCTGGCTAGGGAATTTGAAGGGCCCATGTCGGAGCAGGTTATGTGGAGCATCTCATATTTGGAACGAACTATGGAAAGCTATGGAAAACAGGTTACTCTAGCAAAAAAGCCACACCCTTGAAAACAAAGCTCTCATTTCCTCTCTCTCTTTGCTCAGTGTAAATCAGCCCCTCCCACTGGTACTTTGGAAAAGAGATGGATGTTTGCCTGAAATGTGTAGAATGCAGTTAGTTATCGCAAAACAGCTTTTTGTTATGAAAAACCTTTATGTGTTTACCTTTTCTCACAAAACACAGTTACAGCCATGTGGAAATTAAGCAGGACAGCTACCATTAATCACTTGTGAAAAGCTTTACTATGCCTTTGAATATTTATTTATTTATATCCCACTTTTATTATTTTTATGATTAACTTAAGGCAGTGAACATACCTAATATTCCTTCCTCCTCCTCTTTTCTCCACAATAATCCTTTGAGATGGGTTGGGCTGAGAGTGGGTGACCCAGCCCGAAATCTCCTGCCAGACTTCATGCCAGGGTAGGATTAGAAGTTAGAATTCATAGCCTCCTAGTTTCTAGACTGATGCTTTACCCATTGTTTTACCAATTTTAGCTTTGCTTCTGAAATTATGCTCTCTCATAGAAAATGTAAGGAAGGAGCACATTTTCTAGTGAAAAGAAAGACTGGGGTGACATGCTAGCAGTCACCAAAGCACCAGAAGGCAAGACAAGAAATATTGGATGGAAACTAATCAAAGAGAGAAGCAACCTAGAACTAAAGATACATTTCTTAAGAGTGAAAACAACCAGTGGAACAGCTTGCCTTCAGAAGTTGTGGGTGCTACATCACTGGAGGTGTTTAAGAAGAGACTGGAATGCCACTTGTCTGGAATGGCATAGGTCTCCTACTTGAGCAGGGGGTTGGGCTTAGAAGACTTCCAAGGTCCCTTCAAACTCTGTTCTTCTAAACTTCTGAACATTGTGTTTCATTTTATGTTGTTAGAGAGAATTTTTACAGGCATTTTCTGCTTAGAATGTGCAATATTCTAAAACAGTTTGAACACATTTGTGGAAACCAAAACAGAGAAAGAGACCAGAGGCATTCTCCAGACCTCCCAATAACTCCACATAATCAATATTTGTCAAGATCCTCCTCTTTGTTTAGAATTAGAAGGGTGACATTTTAATGCCCAATGTTCATTGCAAAACTACACTCTGAAAATAGATTCATGAGAAAAGTGAAAGGAAGTTGCATGTAGTGACAAAGGCATACTTGAAAAGAACATGGAATAAAGAAATATTTGAAGTGGCTCAACCATGCAGAAAGAATGAATGAAAATGAAACCACAGAGGAAATACATGAAGAGAGAGTCAACTGACTAAAAGGAAGAAAATTGAGACAGTCACAATTGGATGGAGTGGATGAGATGGTAAAAAAGAGAGAAAAGAGAACTTTTAAAGAACAAAAAGCATGAGGTCACCAAGTCAGAAAGCCATGGAAAGCTCTAGTAAATATATTACTATAAACTAGATCCAGTTATGCTTTCTTCTCCCCCTCTCCCCATTTCATCTTTTATTTGAGTTTTTCCTTCTATGAACTTTGCATAACATCATTTCCCTTGAAGGAAATACCTTATTTCTTCTAAATGCATTTCAAAGGCAACAAATATTCTTTTAAAAAAGGAAAAAAAGAATTTAACTTACTGTGCTCTGAAGATCCTTTCAAATTCTGGTGGGCCTGAAGTGATGGGAGGAGAGATTTTGAACTTCCGCCGAAAGGTGATCACTTGGACGGCAAAATAGGCTAGATGTGAACAAAAGATAAAGAGAAGCTCATTATTTCTTCTGATGAAAGAAAACAGCTCAGTCATTTGTATCAGCAAACACTGCTCATACTGAAGACACAAAAGCAGAACCCAAGAAAGCCTCAGAAGGACCCACAGACATCACTTGATTCTTATCGGCTTCTTCCTCCCTTTCAACATTAATAGGATGGACAGAATTTTACCTTCAAGTGGTCAGAGTACTCACATTTCCCCAAAAGGATTCTATTTTACATTGTGCATATTTATTCTATTTATTTCTATAGGCCTACTGGTGAAGACTCTTGCCTCCCACTCGGAAGGTTGAGAGTTCAATTCTAGATGGCAACAGATTTCTCTCCTAGGATGCAAATAAAAAATATCTGCTGCGAACTCCCATGTAGGTGTCAGGAAGGGCATCTGGCCAGTAAAACTCATCTCCATCCAGTCGCTTCAACTCTACCCTGAATAGATACTACAGGGTCATAAGAAGGGAGTGTTTTTATTTGTATCCTGCCTTTATTATTTTTATAAATAACTCAAGGTGATTAACATATCTAATACTTCTTCCTCCTATTTCCCCCACAACAACCCTATGAGATAGATTGGGCTGAGAAGGACTGGCCCAAAGTCACCCATCTGGATTTCACATCTAACGAGGGACTAGAACTCACGGTCTCTCACTTTCTAGCCTGATGCTTTCATCACTAGTTCAAACACTTTTGCTTTGGCTTACTTGCCATGGGGACATACATGGCAGATTCTTCAATGGCTAGGAAGATAATTGACAGATTAGAGCCCCAGTTCTGTAAGGGCCTCTTACGTTGAGCAACCGTGAAAGGTTACCTTCATCTCTCTTTTCTGCTGCTGTTCTATGATGTTATTTAACTTTATCTCTGCAGTATTTTAAAATATTTTTGTGGCATCTATTTCAATAGTTTATATTTTTAAAAAATAAAATTTAAAAGAAATTGTGTTTCTTTTGCATGTAGTCTTATAGCAAATAGTTATGGAGCCTTTAAGAAACACTTGAAATAAATAAAACAATGTATTTTGTCATCCCTAGAGCCTACATGCCATTTTTAAAGGGGTTAATGTATTTTTTTATTATTGTATACCAACACCACCATCAAGATTATGTGCAAGTAAAAATTAAAGAAAACGTAATGAAAATACTGACGAAAGTATCCCTAGAAATGTTAAATCAAGTGTGTGTCTGTGTTTCACCTAACATTTTCACCAACCACTTCATATGCTAATATTCAGATTGTAGGAACAAACTGCAAGGAGTGAATTAAAGAGCTTTGACTCCACACCTTTAAAATCTGCAATCTTCCCTCAGACTGAGGGCAGTTCTAAAAGACGTGCATTCCACATTCCACCGTTTGGGAGCGGCAGGAAGACCTTTAGTAACCTCTAATTAGCAAATCAGTCAGTAAAACATTCCAAGACAAAATGCTGAAATTAAAATACCTAACCGAGGCCAGAAAACAATTTGCAATTTGCAGCCTTACACAAATTTATGGTGTGATTTGATCTATATGTCTTTCCACTTTTAATCCTCAAATGGAAATTAAAACCATAGAATTAAAAAAAAAATGCAATATTTGAGTATTAAAACACCACAGTATCAAGCCCAAGTAAAAAAAAGAATATTTCTTTTAAAGATGCATTTTATTCATATGTTTTGAATTGCTGTTCACTGTGATGTGCACAGTCATGTTACACTAGAAAATGTTAGACAATTTATTGTTATATGCGAGAAGAAGGGAAACAAAGGATATCAAATACATTATTACACATGGATCAATTACTGTATTGAATTGGAAGTCTGCCAAGATATTGTAGGAAACATATAGCATATTTCAGGATAGCTTTCCTTATTAACTCCTCTTGGTTGTCACCTGCCAGGGAAGCATCAACAAAGCACACTTAAGGAACTTTGTCCCAAATCAATATTCTCCTCACAACTTCCACCTTTTCTTCTTCGTCAGCCTTGTAATCTTCCCAGGGCAAATATGAGAAAGGGTAATAGAAAAATGGTTGCTCTTTGTCCTTTTGATTCTGTATTTATTAAACAGCACCAAGCACATTAGGGCCAGTTGTGGGTCCAGCAACTTAGGAAGAACATTTGACCCACTGGAGTGGTCCAGAAGAGGAGTAACCAAGACAATAAGAAACCTGGGAGGAAAAACTCAGGAGCAGCAGTTGGAGATGTTTATCTTGCAGAAGAGACGAATGTGTGAAGACTTGATAGTTATTGAGTAACTGAAAGGTTCTTAGGTAGAAGATGGGGCAGAAGTGCTCAGAGTACAGAATAGAGTGGGTTTCAACCATAAAGAAGTAAATTTTGCCTAGATAGTAGGAAAAATGCTAATGTTAAATTGTTTGGCAACAGAACAGACTGCCTTGGGAAGTGGTGGTATCTCTCCTCAGGACATTTAAGTGGTGGGTGACTGGGTAGCCTTCTGCTAGGGATGCCCTGGCAATGGATTTCTGATGTTGAGCAGGCACTTGATGATCTCCAAGGTAAATTCCAACTCTTCCAGTCTATGATTCCATAAAATTATTTGTTAAACACACCGCCCATCTCAACAAAGGTGACTCTAGGCAGCATATAATCATTCAGTAAAACTATGGTATAAAACATTAAAGCAATAAATAGAAATCTTACATTTAAAATTAAATTAAAATTAAATTGACCAAGGTGGATAGGAAGGGAGGGAGGAGGTGGGGTGACTGGGGTGTTATCTACCCCATTAGCCATCTCCAAAATGCCACACTCCTATTGGAGCGTGATGCACAGCCAGGTCTTCATGCCCTTTCAGAAGGCCAAAAGGGTGGGTGTGGATGTCGCCTCAGGGACCACGATGTCCAGAAGGCAAAAGCCACAGCAGGAAAGGCTCTACTTCTGGATTGATGGGTTCCACAGCATGCTCCTTCTGCCAGTACAAGTAGGGCAGGTTAGTCCCATTGGAGTGAGACAGTAGTGGGGAGAAACAAAGCACATGGCAGAAAAATATTTTGCAACATGAGGGAGGCTGCTTTTGCATCTCAACTTCACACCAAGAGTTATGTTTATCTTACTGAATACAATATAATCGTTGGGTTTACCTTCTGGGGCTTGTCCCTTGCTTAAATTGTGTCCCATTGAACTTGAGAAGATGCTTTATGGAATAAGTTCACATTTAATAGCAAAATGTTCCCTTGATTTTGGGAGAAGTAATTTCTTTTTCTAGTTTTTGTTTTTGTGCTAGACAAACTAAACATCTCTACTACTAGCAATACACAATCACTGTTTCTATAACCCAGTCTTTGGCTTTTGCCCCGCCAAATAGCTGAAATTAGCTACTTTTTATTTTATAAAAGACTTACTAGAATACCCCAAATCATTTTGGCTTTTTGGCTACCCTACTGCTAAATTTCTTATACAATGTACATTTCATAGCTATATTTTTAAAAAAAAAGTTTTTTTATTTTTTACACAAATACTCAAACAAACATACAATGTATTTTTTCTGAACAAAGTATTGGCCGGTTCACAAATTTATATAATCTTTAGTCATCTCCAACACAATTTAAATATTAACTTTTTGCCATAGTGTTTATTCTCTCTAGTTTTTATAGACCAATATTACCCTTCACCCTAATCGCTAATCTTAATAAAATTCAATTTTTCCCTTTTCGTCTTTAAGTTAAACTCCTTAAATTTAAAATCTCAGAACATAAAATAATCCCAATATTTCCTTAAATTCCCTTATTATAATCACAAACATTTTTCTTTATCAGCTGTTCCAAATAGTGCAATCCAACATGTTAATAAAGCTCAGTTATATATATAACATTCCAATCATTCATTTCTTTTCTATTATTTTTCAAATATATGATCTCTTCTTATTAACAAACAATAACCAAACCAACAAACCAAATTACTTTGTATAGTACATTTTCTTAAGTTTTAACTCCAATTTTCAATTACTTTATCAAATATATATTTATAGGTCTTCAATCAATATCTTAATCATTTCTAATTTCACAACATATCTAATTAATTTATAATACCATATCATTTCCAATTTTTTTTAGTTGTTCCAAACTTGCAATTAAAAATATTCCAATTATTACAATTTCCCTAATTACAATCAAAAATATTCCACCTATTACAATTTCATATATTAAACTTATTCATATATCTAAATCTTATTTTGTTCCAAATAGTACAATCCAACATCTTAATAAAGCTCAGTTAAATATATAACATTCCAATCGTTCATTTCTTTTCTATTATTTTTTCAAATATATGATCTCTTCTTATTAAATAACAAACCAAATTACTTTGTACAATACATTTTCTTAAGTTTTAACTCCAATTTTCAATTACTTTGTCAAATATATATATATATATATATATATATATATATATATATATATATATATATATATATATCTTCAATCAATATCTTAATCATTTCTAATTTCGTAGCTATCTTAACGACCCAGTTTTTTTGCAGTGTGTAAAGCTTGTTTCTGTAGCTTTACTTGAATGTAGCTTCAATTTGTTTCTGTAACAGCAGAATGCACCCCCTTACCTTGTTCCAGCACAGCCAAAACAGTAACAGTGGAGAGCAGAGCTATATTGTGCAACATCTTAATCTTCAAAAGACACCAGAAAAGTAAATCCGCTCAAAGCTAGACGCTCCTTGAAACTTCTCTGCTTTTAGTCATAATTCTGCAGTGCTGTCAGTATAATTAAGACAGTGGATGCCTTCATTTCCTCTTTTAAAGCGTTGGTTAGTTAACTCCTTGCTTGCTGGTGCCGTAAAGGGATCCCATCAAGTACATCAACTACATTTCTCTTTGGAGAAAAGATAAGGCTTGTAGACCCATAAAAGCAAAAAGTTTCTTGCAACTCACCCTTTTATGACTGGGAAAAGTGATCATCTAAACGTTTTATAACATTGCTTATAACCAGCCCTTTTATGGAGCAGATTGCAAAAAAACTGGTCCATTTCTATGATATCTTTTGGAGCATAGTCTAGTTGCTCAACCAATCACACAAAGGAAGTTGAGGAACCAGGCAAAGGGGAGGATAGGGAACAGTCTTCCCCCCACCTTAACCTTGTTATTCTTCCTGGCTAAAGCAATGCAAATTCCATTCAAAGTAGTGTGTGTGGGATGGTGGAGATGGAATGAAAAGACAAAATGTACACATTTGAATATGAGAACGACTAAGAAGTATTGTCTCCCTTTTATGAATGACCTGAAGATGGTTTATCACCACAGAGAAACATTTGTTTAGCCTACCACATAGCTTGATCTAATTTTCTCTTTGGTTTTTACTTGCGTCACTTCCCAAAGTTAGTTTGGTCTTCCCCCTCCCCTTCTCTTACACACATTGGCAAACGTGAGGAAATTGCCTACTTGTCTGAAGAAACTTTACATTAGCCTCTCATGTTAACTGGGATCTCCTCTGATGCTTTTATAATTTCTGCTATTTTATTTAAGGCTCATCTTTGTGTATCTCAGAGTATTTCTAAACAATTTATTCTCTCACAGCTTTTGGTCCTTATACCTGTGCTCCATGTGAAATTTAACTTTTATTAAGGAAGTTGAATCTTCCACTGAAACTGTGGATACTAGTTTGAGCACTTAATTAGTAATTAGATAGTCTTAAAATGTATATAACCTGTGGAACAACATATTTAAATGTTCTGGTCTTTTGCAATAGAGTCAGTTTGCTTTGAAAAGAAAGTCTTTGTTTTTAAAATTAAAACTTTAATTAAATTTTTAATTAAAATTTTTAATTAATTTTTTTAAAATTTAAATTTAAAATTAAAACTTAGGTAAGAAAAACAAAAAATACACATATAAACTGGGTGAAACTAGGCTTAATAGCAGTAACTGTGAGAGAGATCTTGGAGTCTTAGTGGACAACCAGCTAAATATGAGCCAGCAATGGGCAGTGGCAGCGAAAAAAGCCAATGCAATCCTAAATTGCATTAACAGAGGGATACAATCAAGATCAAGTGAGGTACTAATACCACTCTATAAAGCCCTAGTAAGACCACACCTAGAGTACTGCATCCAGTTTTAGTCACCACACTATAAAAAATATGTTGAGACTCTGGAAAAAGTGCAGAGGAGAGCAACCAGGATGATTAGGGGACTGGAGGCTAAAACATATGAAGAACGGTTACAGGAACTGGACATGGCTAGTCTAGTGAAGAGAAGGACCAGGGGAGACATGATAGCAGTGTTCCAATATTTGAGGGGCTGCCACAGAGAGGAGGGGGTCAAGCTGTTTTCCAAAGCACCTGAAGGCCAGACAAGGAATAATGGATGGAAACTGACCAAGAAGAGATTCAACCTAGAAATAAGGAGGAACTTTCTGTCAGTGAGAACAATCAACCATGGAACAGCTTCCCTTTGAAAGTTGTGGGAGCTTCATCACTTGAGACTTTCAAGAATAGATTCGACTGCCATTTGTCAGAAATGGTGTAGGGTCTCCTGCTTGAGCAGTGGGGTGGGTGTTGGACTAGCTGACCTATAAGGTCCCTTCCAACTGTTTATTCTGTTGATATGTTAATTATTTTAACACTTTGGAAAAAATATTTAATATTCATTTAACACCTCAGTAGGGATAACTAATATGGAGCCTTCCCTGGTGCCTTTCAGGTTCTTGTTCAGTTTTTTTTTAATGTAATGCTGATTAGCATGCAACTAATAAGCAGAGCAATATATCTTTAAAGACTTAATGAGACTACTTCTGAATCCTGTGTATCTTTCTTGCTCATCCTTTGTTGGACTTAGAGAAGCCATTACTGCTGGCCAAAGTTGAGTGCTTTGAAAGGTGAGAAAAAGGTCATATATTTAGCAAGATATATGCAATATATACGTATATTTAGCGAGATATATTAGAGAGCCTTGGTGGTGCAGCAGACTAAAGTGCTGTTAAGTAGCACTTAGCTGCCAGCTGCCTGCAATTACTGTGAGTTCAAATCTCACCAGGCTCAAGGTTGACTCAGCCTTCCATCCTTCCGAGGTAGGTAAAATGAGGACCCGGATTGTGGGGGCAATAAACTGACTTTGTATAAAAAAGAACACCGCCTGGGGGGCCCGAAAGCCCTACTAAGCAGGTATATACAAAAGTATGAAGGCTATTGCTTAATGCATTGTAAGCCGCCCTGAGTCTTCAGAGAAGGGCGGCATATAAATTGAACCAATAAATAAACAATAAATAAACAAGAAGCTGGATAGAAACATTCTCAAGTTTGTGTTGCACATTAAATAGGTTCCAGTAAATTCAATGTAAGCAGTGAATTTAATTCCGTTCTTATTAGCCAAACCAAAAGTGAATATCCTTAGAAAATAAAAATTGGAAAGTGGTAATAACTTGACACATTGAGTTTGAGAATGTATCTATCTGCCCGGAAAGAAGGAAATATGGAGTGATAGCAGTGGTGGGTTGCCCCTTGTTCTATAGAAATGGTAGTAAAACCAGCGGGAGGCTCCGCCCACTGACCCCAACGTCATCAAAATGCTTCTGCGCATGCGCCGAAGAGCACGTGCGTGGCCCTGTTGCGAACCAGTAGTAAAGGTAAGTAGAACCCACCCCTGAGTGATAAGTATTATGTTAATTAGGTATATTAAATATTACTGCTTCTCACTTATTTCTTCTTTAATAATATGGAGACTCACAGATTATGCTCCTTTGCTGTACAAAAAGTAAGTTGTTAAAGATACTTATATTTTACTCAAGGTATATCCTTAATATATGGAATTGATCAATGCCATAAAATCTTGGTTTTACAGACAAGGTGAGAGGAAAAAGTTTGAACAAGAATGTCCATAAGTGAAAATGTCTGTAACTGACATTATTTACATAATTTGTCAATTGCATTATTACAAACTTTTACATCATTTTTTTACGCAAGTTAAATAAATTATGTAAGTTGTCCACGTTGTCATCTGGGAGTTGAGAAAAATGGAGAAGTTTCTGCACAGCCTAGTACATAGTACGGTAGATTTTTTTAAATATAGTACATATTTTTTCTAATATGTATGCTTATTTTACCATGACTCAAATGTATCTGAGTACAGAGTTGCTGGACACTTTACTTGTAGCCAATTATCTGTTTCTAATGTGAGTCCCTTTGTTCCTGTAAAGTAGATGTAGCTTGTATTTGGTTACCAGAGGGAGTCTTTCACCTTGAAAATGTTGCTAATGTGTTTCGTGTGTGAGGCTCTGCAGACCCTCACAAATAAACAATTTGGAGACTGAATGTTGGGTTTGTGGTTTTCACTGAGCAGGCAAATGAACCAGAATAAACCTCACTGTAAAAATAGCTGAAAAGGAAAAGGTAGCTGTGGTTATCCGGAGTTTTTTCTCCAGCAAGTGTGAAGTCCGAATTAAAATGTTTTCAGTTTCATCTGAAGCCAGTTGAATGGAGTTCTAGGAAATGAAGAGCAAGTTATGGCTCCAAGTAAAAGCTGTATCTAAGATATTAGTACGTTGGAAGAAAACAATCTATTGTTCATTTGTAGCAATTAATAATTAACAAATATTTAATGAATATTTAAATTGACTCTCTTCTGAAAGGAGAAGCAAGGAATACTTGTTATTAATTCATGAAATTAACAGTATAGCATGGGATTTTTCACATTTGTTTGTTCCTTTCTTCCTTTACTCCTTTTAATTAAAATATAATACAGTGGTCATACTTTCTCAAAAGAAGCAGTTTCACAGTCCTTTGGGGAGGGTTAAAGGGATAAAATACCTTACATCTTTTTAAGTGCGGGGTCCTTGTTGCTCTCTGAGCTTGGTTGTTTTCTTGCAGATATTTCATTACCCACACTAAGTAACATTATCAGTGCTAGTAAGGAATGGCGTTTGCTTTCATTTTATATTCTAATGTTTTTTTTGTTCCCTTTGTGGCTTGTTAATGATCTCTTTTGCACAGTATGTAGATGTATGTATATATACTGTGCAAAAGAGATAAGCCAAAAAGGGAACAAAAAGAACAAAACACCTCCTGACCAGTAATCAACACCCAGATGACTAACACCAAGATTTACCTCAGACCAACAATCAAGAGATAAACAATACCCAATCAAGGAATTGTCAAACAAGCAAACAGTCCAATCAAAGAATCTCGGAGACCATCCCCACCAATATTGAGAGGGCAAGCCACTAGTATATAAATTGAGAGTAAACCCCATTCCTTACTAGCACTGATGATGTTACCTAGTTTGGGTAATGAAATGTCTGCAAGAAAATAACCAAGTTCAGAGAACACCAAGGATTCCTCATTTCAAACTACAAATATTCTTCCTTTATTGGTAGCTTTTTAAGCCTTAAATGTTCCAATGGATTAAAAAAAAGCTTGATTCACCTTATGATGCCATCCTTTTAGCGGCCACTTTCTCTGTGGCCCTTGGCATGCATAATACATACAAAAAGAAATGTACAAGTGTTCTTTGATGGGAAGTTATTCCTGGGTCAGAAGGATACTATGGTCAAGAGTATCCAAAGCCACCAAGAGATCAAGGAGCACAAGGATGGATGCGGCAATGCCTTCCAGGCTCAGCTGCAGTTCCCTCAGGCATTTGATTTGGGAGTTTGAACCAGCCCTGATGGTGAATTTGTTTTGTTTATGGTTTGAAAATGGAATAGTTTAGATGTGGATGTGGGTTATTTTGCATGTTATGTTATGGTTTTTTGCTTTTAATCTTTTGCGTGCTGTCCAGAGTTGGGTGGCTATACAAATGGTCTAAATAGAAAGAAAAGAAATAGTACGTATTGTTCATTGTCTCGATGCAAAACATTATTCCACAGCTTGAAACAGGAAATAATGGATGAAAGTACAGTACAAGCTGTACTGCATACTTAATTTTCAGGAGTGTCC